AGTGCCTTGAACACTTTTGGAATCATAAAAAATCCATTGAATAAATCTGCTTATCACTACAATAATAGAACTTAATTTTTTGATGATTTAAATTGGAAAGCTTACTAATTCTGAGACAAACTAAATTTCAAATAAGAACTTTAATTTTTGAACAATTAACAATTAATAAATAATAAGTAACAATTAGGAAAACTGCAAAACCTAAAAAAAAAAAATGTTAATAAATAAATAAATCAAATATCAATTTATGTCTTTGCTAAGTTTAAAAACAAATGTGTTTAATTTGCAGGTAAATATGCTAATGAGGCTACAGGAGGCAGCTGGGACATATAATGCCAACAATAGCAGCAGCCTCAACCCTCACAGTAATAATGACAGTGACAGTGCTGACAGCCACAATAGCATGCAGGACTTTTCCTCTAGCTCAGGTGTTGAATCAAGGCTTTGAACTTGTCCGCATCATCACTTCACCACTGGCATGGGCTTTCACTGTAGAGGACAGATCAGAAAAAAAGAAGCTATTAATTTGTTTTTTTGTTTTGTTACTAGCGAGTAGCCTATCACTGCATTCAATTCATTCAATCTGTTTACTTTTGACAAAATTTGTATGTAATCACAAGATAAGTAAATAGCAAATTTAATCTCTTGTCTAAGTTTTTTTTAAACAATCATCTTGTGGGTTTCAAAATACATTATTAGTCAGAAGCTTTAAAATGGTAAGAAACTCTAAGTACTACTGAGGCTTAGGCTTCTAAAATAGTTAACAGAACTTCACTGGATTATTGAGTTGTTGGAATATTTTAAAAAAGGACTACACTTGGTTATAGACTACTAGATATTTTAAAGTTTGGAATTTACTGTGTAGTTTTGTTGTAGTATCTATTTTAAGTTGAAGATTTTTCTTTGTTATAAATTAAAATTTTAGTGTTACATGTAATTGAAATTTCAATTTCAATCTGTCTTTTTTTTAAGTTATTGATTACTTGAAATTAAGAGTATTTTCATAAATATTCTGTGAATTTATTTATTAACTATTTGATCACTCAATTACTTTATTTTAAATTAGAAACTAAATTAAACAAATAGTAGTTACATTTTTAAAGCATCTTAATTTTTTATCCCACGCAATCTGAAAAAAAAATGAATGTTTTTTTTTAAATCCAGAACTTTCATTTATTATGTTTTTTTTTTTTTTTTTACCTAACATTTTTAATAAAACTCCAACTTTTTTATTTAGTTGTAGTCATCACTGTAACCATATGTAATTAAAAGTTGTTTTTTTAGCACATCTCGGACTAAATTGTTTTAAAAATAAAAGAATAAAGGAAATAGAGGTGTATAGGTTTTGTCTCCACCGAAGCCATGGGTTTAGGACTATCATCACCATAATCCTGCATAATATCCTTGTTTGTCACTTTTCTCTGAGAGGTCTGACCATGGATGTAATAATCTTCATATCTGAATGTGAAATTTAGAAAAAAAAAAAAGCTGTCACCAGTTATTATAATTAGTTATGTATCAGCATAAAATAAGAACAAAAAAAAAACAGTTGCCTCTTTGCATTAGAAGTTTTCATCCTCAGTAAAAATGATGAGAGGTATATTTTGTAGAAAGACTTCACAAGGTAGTTGAGACAAACTCTCTTGACCCTCTTAAAGGGTTACACTTCTTAACTGCTTACTCTGAAAGTACCATTTTTTCTGGCAGCGTTAGTTTTAGCAAATAATATTAAGCCTTGTTGAGTTGAGAATTAAATAATATTGTATTTTTTACAAATAGAGATAATAGACAATGCAAGACACTTTTTTCATTCTAATGAAAAACTTATCTTTTTTTTCAAGACTTACAAATTACATATTGTTGTACTGTATGTACATAGATCTATATATAAAACATTATGGGATCTATCTATGTTGTGTTTCTCAACTTGTGATGTGCCAAAGTTGACAATATTCTCAATATATTTATATCTGTTGTGTCTTGGATTAAATATAATGATACTAATTACAATCATTTTGTTAGTAAAAAAAAATGTAAAATGAAACACAAATGTTATTTGTTCTGTTTGGAAATTGATTAATCTTTTTGTTTTAAATTGTTCCATAAAGTAAATTCTACTTTTAAAACATTGTTAAACACGTTCTTTGCCCTCCCCTTTTCCCGCCGTATTTTCTAAAGCTTTGTTTAAACAGAAATTAACTCTTAATAAATGTTTCAATTTAAATTGTATTAATGTTTGTGTGTTTTTTTTTTATTTCATTGATTACATGAACTATTTAAGCCATATCTGTGGTTGGTTCCTAGACCTAAGGTCAAAGTGCAATCTCATTTATTTTGTTTGTATTATAAGAGTTTTTAATTATTTATTAATGTACCAATTTTTTTTAATTTCTTGTGTTTTCAAATAATGTGTTCAGATAAGAAGGAACAAGTTGATGTCTTGTATAATAGCTTGAAGGCTTCCATTCATTCTTGGAATGCATTTTATTAATTATAGAATAACTTTTGTTTCCTGTCATTTCTTCTAGTAATAAGTAACATTCATAAGTTTATGTATTCACTTGATAATAATTATATCTGTGCTATATCATTTTAACTTGTAAGTTAAGTCATCGGCAGTTGTTCATGTTTTATTATCTCCATTTCTGGCATAACTTTCAACAACAATAACCTTCGTGTGCAAGGAAGAGATAGAGAGACATTTATCAGTTCATACTTTAGCGTGTGACTCCTCCAATATATAACATATGTATTGCTCATGAATCAGGTCAAAAAAGGGCTGAAAAAAAAATGGAAATGTTAAATATTCAACAATATGTCATCAATGACATAAGAAACAACATACATATTCATATTGCTTTACTCATTTCATTATTGCCATTGTAAGCAATAACAAAATTGAATTTATATGCCTTTAAAAACATTCATTTGTTCTTTTGTTTCTTAAGCCAAATCTACATAATAAATTGCAATATTCTTATATAATAGAACATTTATTTGATTTTATAAATTCTATTAATTTTTTATTAAAGGAAAAAACTATAAATATCATTTCTTAATATAAATTTCAATATTAAATTGTACAAAACTAAAACTGTTTATATTTTTTTTAACTGCATTTTGTTATGTTGTCAAATTATTTGTGTGTCCACATGTGTTATATGTTGTTATTGCTGTAAATAATTTTAACTGCCTTCAGCCTTAAGTTGTATTTTTTGTGCATTTTTTATCTCATTTTTTTTAAAATTCTGTGTGAATTGTGTGTGTTTGCATTGGTATGATTTCTGACTTTTTAAATTTGCCTTTTTTTCACAAAACTATTATTTTATCCAGACTTTGAATGCAAACTATCATAAAATAATACTCACAATTTGTTTCATCTATTTTGCTATAACAATGAGCATTCATATCACCATTTAATAATTCATTTTTAATATAGTAGTTTTATTATCATTTATACATATTTACAAATAAATAGCCACATTATGATAAATGTTCATCCCATTAAAAATCCATTTTGTTATAATTTGAACATAATATACAATATTCTATGATAATGAATGTAGTTGACTGTTCTAGATAATTTTATAGGCTAGTTATGAACATTGGTGATATTAGGCATTCGTATGTAGTCCCTTTGTAGCCCCGTGGTGTAGATAACTCTGTGCAGCTAATAAATCTCATTGGTCTAAGTGATCACTTCGTGTTGACCCACTGGTGGCATTGAAATAAATTTTGAACTGCTGAAACTGTCTCTAGTTAGTTGTGAACAGACTTGTACCAAGCATTTCACATGCACATATTTTTATTTCTATCATCAATGCAGCAGAGCTGTGAGGATAGTCTGCAGCTGACATTCATGTCTATATCAGACCTCTATATACAATAAGATTTCTTCCAACTTCAGTGTCATTCAAATCTATTTCACATCTACTAACAATATGAGTTTTTCTTTTTTTTATAGTAAGAGTGAAAATAGGTATGCATACTTTAACATAATTTTATTCATTCATCCGTTTTTATTTTTGGATTGAAAGAGAAAGGTAATAAGAGCTATTTCTAGCATTCTGTTATATCAGTTGGCCAGCTTTGGCTGCCTGGTTATGCAGTAAGCACTCTGGACTGTTGTCTCAGTGGTCCTGCCCATCACTATCTCCTTTCATCCATTGAAAAGATTGGGCTAGAGTGTAATAATCTTTAACTCTCAACATCAGAAACATGAAGAACAAAAAGTATGTTAGAAATTGACTAGACTATAAATTAGCATTACCTTCATTTATATGATTATGACATCAGTAAAAAAAAAAAAAAAAAAAGACCATTTGTACATATTTTTTAAAACAAAAAAAAATAGTCATAATTCTTTGATATAAAATCATTTACAACTTAACTTAACAACTTTATTAAAAATTTCCTAAAAGAAATTACTAAACTACCCAAACATGCAATTTTTGGTTAAATTTCATTCATCCTTAAATCACTCAGACAACATTGTCCATTAAGTTTTTAATTCATACTGTATTGAGATGTCTCTATACCCTTAGCTTTTATATACATGTATCCCTTAGCTCCCCAGGTTAAGGGATACTTCTTTAATTACAACTTTTGCTTTCGATGTGAGCCTTCTTGGTTGAGGGAAAAGCTTTGGTGTTTTGACCTTTTCATTTTAAAGTATGTAGTCCACAGGCTATGTCTGTGGTGTAGGTCTGTGCCAATAGTTAATGTTCCAAATATATTACTTAAAATGATGGCATAGAAGATGACTTATGCTTTTTAGATGAATTATAATGCTGATTAGGTATGTTCTTGTAATGTACCTGTATTCTTTAGCTGGTTGTAAAGATAGAACATGTACTTAGTCATTTGTGGAAAAACAGTTGTTAAGTTCGTTAATTTAATTGTAGTTGATTCAATAAATTTTCTTTATGTTTATTAATCATAACTATTAAAGTTGAGAATTATTTATAATTGACATGCGTATAGTAACCCCTTTTAGACCTTGCGATCAATGGGGCAACTGGTATAAAGGTCATTTGTTTCTTTGACTGATGGTTAACAAGCAGGTTGTCATGTGGCCAGTACAATGACCACGCACCTATACTTTCCTCAACTGAAGTCAGGTACCCATCAGAGTTTGGTGGATTAGAGGTGTCCTTGAAATCCTGAAATTAAAAATCCAGTTTTCACCAAGATTTGAACCTGGGACCTTTCAGCCACCATGCACCCCAATTGACATAAGGCAAAGTGTTTGTCATTTGTCAACTGTGCTTTAAGAAAAAGGTCATGTAATGCTAAGTTAAAGCTGCAATCAATGAAGAGCTCATAGTGTAAAAGCTAAATGGGATAGAGCTCTAGCTCACATACATAGATCTAGAGGTTTATTAGAATCACAAGCAAAAAAATAATTGTGTAACTAGCCAAAAAAAATAATTGAACTTGCTAGTTTGTTAACTCTAGAAGAGAAGCAAAATGTTGGCTATCTAAACTTTTGTGTGTGTGCTTGTTTTGTTACTGTCTATAGTTTAAATAGTTAAGCCTAAATGTAGAGGCATGTTTTTAAGAAAAAAATGTTCTAGATCTAGATATCATGTATAATAGTCTGTACTACACACCCACACCCCAAAAAATATTCCAGAGTAATATTTACACCAGATAATAACAAGAAAGTAACTAGGGGGAATATTTATAAGGGAATCTATATGCATTTCAAATATTTAGTCCTTATCAATTCTAAATCTGGACCTATCTTGTAACCATTATGCATACTTTACATTAATGAATTGGTCTTAATGACATACAAATCATAACTAATTTTTAAAAACAGCTTTTTGTTTTAAAAGTTTATTAAAACAGCTTTTTGTTTTGAAAAGTACCTAATTTAAATAAAAAAAAACATTTTGTAGTTACATTAAACAGATATATTAATTATATTAAAATAATATATTTATTGATTTGTATGAAAGTTAGCAAGATATTTAGTTTCTACAAACAGGCTTTCATAATAAAGATTTAGATCTATTACTTTTGATTTTGCATGAAAAAATATTTTTCAAAAAATAAGAAAATTCACTTCTGTAGCACTGACCTATGAAACAGCTGAACTTTTAGTTCTTAATTTTTGTTTCAAACATTGGCTAGCTGTGTGGTGGTATGTAATAATGGCCAGTTATATATTATAATCCTGTTATAACAAACTGTAATTTTTATGGACTTTGCTTTCTTTGCAGCTATTTTTTTTTAAATAAAAAAAATGATTATTAACTTTTTGAAAAGTATTATAATGAAGTTGTTTTTTTTTTATTTCCACTGCATTATGTTTTGTAGTGATGTTGTTGAGTGTAGTTGTCGATGGTTTGATTACACCAGTTTGTACATAGTATTATTCAAGTCAATTCATCAATAAACATGAATGGAACTACTTTTTGTGTGTTTAGTTTCATTTGTCATTTGTATTTGAATTAATGCTCATTGGCGTAGAAATCCGTGTCATTTGGGTGATAAGGTTTTTTGACACTATTTGGGCCTAATTGTAAAATGTGGTACATGCATTCCAATGCTTTTGTTTTAGTAAATACATTGTTTATACAGAATGACAGGATTTATTTGCCAAGGCTTAAAATCAAACCCCGGATGGGACACTAATTTAACAGTTATAATTTTTAAAAATTATTTAATTATCTTAAAATTAAATTGGGCTTACTTCTTTTTCTCAGTGAAATTGTTCCGAAAGACAACAAAGAACAAATATAATTGTTACGCATTATGATACACGACTTAAGAGGGAATTACCGCACTCAAATGTTGCTAAATTTGTATTTTATTTGTAAGGACTTTGAATAAATAAAAAAAAAAAACGTCATGAACGCTTTGCGCAAAGTCTTTTGTAAGTGTCAGCTCCAAGAATATAGGGCCTACAAAAGTCAAATCAGTGGTGTAGCTAAGGTGGGGAAGGAATGTCTAAATTTGAAAATGTCCCCCCCCCCGGCCCCCACTTGAGGGACCCCCAAATGATATATCTCATGCCATGATGTCAAATGCAGGGGGCCACTAAAGAGGTTAAACTCCCAGCAGGGCCTCCAAATCCATAGCTACGCCACTGTCTCAAATATTAGACGAGATCTAGATTAATTATTGAGTAAACTTCACTTGAAAGATTCCCTCTACTGTCAGGCGTAGCCCATTCAACTGAAAAGCCTTGTCTACTTTAGATGTAGATCTAGCTTAGAAAATAATCTGAATTAGGATTACCAGGTGTCCTACACAAAAGATCGTGTCTTCTTTCCGGCAGATATTGGCCTAAAAGGTGGAAAAGTCCGGCTTTTTTTATTTACTTCAATTGCATATTACCCGATAATGAATTCAATTCTTAATATCTCCTGGTTTAAGCGGAGACCAATCGTCATACATAAATGATTTACTAAATTGCATTAGTTCAGAAACAGACGCTTGCATAATATACACACACAAAAAAACACAAGATACAGAAATTTACTAAGAGAATTAGATGAATTACAAAAATGAGAATCAAATTGGAGCAAGTCTTTCCACCCAGAAAAATGTCAGTTATTAAGAGTAACAAAAAAAAGTAAATTCCACTTGCTTTATTCATCACCAGTAACACATATGAGACTAAAAATCCAAATACCTAGGTAATATAATTTCATATTATAAATGAAAAATTGTCATAGGATCACCATACTGATGAAACTATTAAAAAATCAAACAAAGCGTTAGGGTTTGTTAAAAGAAATTTCTATAAATCAAATAAAAACATAAAACTAAAATGTTATTCAACCTTGGTTATGCCAATAATAGAATATGCATCCTCTGTTTGGGAACCATTAACTCAAGAAAACATTAAGAAATTTGAACAGACACAAAATAGAGCAGTCAGATTCATAACAAACGAATACTCACATTTAACCAGAGTAATACCTTTAGTAAAATCACTAAATTTAGAAAGCCTTCAGGACAGAAGACTCAAACGTAAAGTAGCAATTATACATAAAATACTGAAACATAATCTTCAAATTCAAAAAAACAAAACCTAATAAAATACTCAGAAAGACACAAAGATAAAGGCACATTCCTGGTTCCATACGCTAGAGCATACATACTCAAATACTCTTTCTTCCCTAGTGCTATATACTAGAGAATGGAATGGGTTGCCTGAGCTAGCCAGGAAAACCAGTAACTTTGCAGAATTTAAGTAATTGGTTAACATGCATGATGCGTAGGATGTAATCATCTTTTTGAAGTAACGTCTGTATTTTATAAGATGGGTAGAAGGACGAACACTGACCTGCAACGTCGCCACCAATGGGCAGTGGAAACCAAAAGCTCACGACACAAGTGTTTATTTTTTGTTTTGTTTTGTTACTTGTTTTTATAAGCTTATTCGGGAAGACAAAAACGACGTTTTCTCGCAAGTGACAGAAACAATGGGAACAAAATATATTTCGTCTGATTCTTAATTAGTTAATAGGCCTATATTCGTTTTACTGCCCAGAATTTACTGATACCTTTTATTTATGTAATAGCAAGTCTATTTTTTAAATTTTTCTTTACATTTGTTTATCCTCCTTTGAAATATTCTTTCCTCCTTTCTGTACTCTTTTTCTGTCCTCCTTTGACTGAGCAGGTATCTGGTAGCCCTCCACCTTCAAATTTATGTGTGTTTGATTACTTTTTTTTTTTAACGGAAAGTGATTAGTCTTCTAACACGACACTCTTTCGATGAGCAGCATGTTGAAATTGAGATTTTGATGTTTCTTTTTTTTTTTTTTAAATAAAGGTTCCAATGTGAAGAAAACCAACAACTCGTGGCCGCAACTTCGTTGTATATAAAGTCTGTTGGTTTTAAATAACAACTAAACTTTACTGTGTTATTAAAGTTTCCGGAATACATTTTTTGCTCTCAGAAATAAGACGGTTTTCTTGAAAGCATACCCTCGCAAACACAAACAACAGTATACACACACACACACGCACTATTTATAGAAAGTCAGCAAGAGGAGAAAAAAGGGCGTGCAAAATGTGTATCAAGAATTCAGGCGTATAGTTCAAGACTTGTTCTGTTTAATCAATTAAAAATATAAATGTCTAGCTCTAGTAACTCTCCTAACCTACAGATATATGCACGGAAGAGAGTCCACCTTGTAACTATTTTTAAATTATATCCAAAAAAACTAAATGCCTTTGACATCACGCATATCATTAAAAACTAGGCTTGTAGTTTCTAATGGCGTTCTCCATTTCATAAAATAGACACTATACTGTTATTACCTTCATAATGGAAACTGAAGCATAGATTAAATGCATAATATGATTAATCTTGAAAATTACAGTATTTGTTGTGTTGCATTTAAAAAAAGGAAGGGGAGTTACAGATACGTAGACGAAGATTTTATTGATATTCATTTTTCGCTAGGGTTTATTTTAAAGTTTTGATACTCCTATGCAGTGTTATGACATGATTAGGATTTAGTCATTTGTTTCGGGAATAGGGGAAAAGTTTTACTGGCGTAAAGTCAAGTGATGTAAAGTTTGTTAAAAAGTAAGAACGCTCTAGGATTGATAGAGACAAGACGCCTTTCCTATCACAGCTAGTTTACGGACCTAGTTGACATCGGACGATTTCCTTCGTGATCATTAAACATATTTGTTGACCAACATCAGCGTCGACTACATATTTTGATTGTTTCGGCCTTTCGCCGTGTTCTTGATTTAGTTGAAGGTTACCTCCTGATTATTTTATTGTTTGCATTCGACACCGCGGAAGAGCCATAAGAGCAGGCATATTCACGCTTTGAATTATTATCTTTGCTTTTTTCTACTTCGATGTTTGTAAACCCGTCTGTACAAAGTTTTATAGCATTATTTTAGGTCTGTCGTGAGAAGTGTGTTAAATTACTTTAAAAAAAAATAAAAATGAAAGGATAGTGTATATTTAGAAGTCTTTGTCAATCATTTAGTGTAAGGTTATATTTTTTACACTTAAGTGTTTTCCAAAAGTTCTATTATCTTATTTGAAGGACTTTGCCAATAAGTCAGCTCTCTATTGTTGAATATTAAACTGGGTTAAGGTCATTTTAACATAGATCTAGTTGTGAACTTAATGACTCTCGGAAGACTTTTCTATCTTTTCGTTCATCTTGACATAACTATGCTCAAAATGTTACTACAGCACATACAATAATGTGGTTTGTTTGAATTAAAACTAAGGGCCGAACAAAACAATGTGACTTAATGATTTAAACAGAGAACAGTTCCAGCACTATATCTGAATGCGATCATCTCCCTTGTTGGCGTTGCTGGAAACATTGTGAACTTAGTTGTTTTCGTGAGACAGTGTTTTGGTGACAACATCAACAGAAGTCTTTTCGCTCTGGCCGTGGCTGACATCGGGTTCCTCTTGATTGGATTCTTTAAAGGTCTATGCCGCA